ATGTTCAAATAAACAGTTACTAAAATGGAATTCAGACATAATGATTATAACTAACATTGAATTTTAGTATTTCAGAACTTCAATCTTTCATCTGACAAAATTCATTGAAGGTATCCTGAGAATCCCCAAATCAGAACTAATTCAACCAGACTCTGTTTCTGAAACATTAATTCTAATCAGGCTCTGATTCTGAAACGTTTAATCAGACTCTGACTCTGAAAAGTTTATCCAAACCAGACTCTGAATTTGACAAGAATACTTATGCAAAAAGGGAAGTTTTCTATTCAATTAGAGTATTCATTTCAGGGGGAGATTCTGTATCTCAGGGGGAGTTATATATTTATTTCCATTTATTGAACAAAATTTCCTATGTTTTTGTCATCATCAAAAAGGGGGAGATTGTTAGAACACAGATTGGTGTTTAAATATATCTCATTATTTTGATGATAACACTAATGAAATTTTGTATTAAGAAAATATATACTCTAATTTTGTTCAAGTGTTTTTTGTTTCAGATATTAAAATTGAATATTCTGATAAAGGCAAAAATACATCTGAATGTTCTCTACGCAAGGCTCTGAAGTATCAGAAGCAACTCCTTAGAAGATTCTGAGCACTACCAGAAGACTCTGAAGCACAAGCTGCAGAAGACTCTGAAGCGTAGCTGAAGATTTTGTATGAAGAGTTTCAAGCATTGTTTCAAAAGACTCTGAATGTACTTTATGTTGCAAGTACAGAGGCTCTGAATAACCAGTATGCTATGATCAGATCACTCACGCTAAAGCACTATGGCTGCAACTCTAATTTCATTGAATCTGATCTAAAGAACCAGAAGCACATCAGAGGATCTGATGTTGTTTACATTTGAAAAGATGTCAGCACGTGAATAGACTTGGGACTGTTCTCAACGTCCTCTCCAACGGAACTATTCCTTATTTGTGATAGACACAAGGATTCAGGCAAAAGGCATTTCTCTGAACATTCTACTTGTGAGAAAGGAAAAGTCATGTGAAGACAAAAGGCTACAGCTACTCTACTTGCACAGTCTTCAAGCTTTGGACTCTCAGCACTATAAAAGGACGTTCTCTTCATCTCTTCATAACTAACGATCTATTGAAAAACTCATTGAAATTATTCTTAACTCTCATACAATCATTCAAAGCTGAATAGTTTTATTTGTTCTTAAACTTAAGTGTAAAAATCACAGTTTGTGATATAGCTTTTTAGAAGCATCAAACACACTTATTAGTTTACATTTATTTGTAAAGGTTCCTTAAGAAGACCAAGTTGTGGTCAGTAGTTCTTGAGAAGACTAAGACAGTTGTTCTTAGTGGTTGACATTGTAATCTGTTTGATTATAGTGGATTAAGTCCTTGAGGAGAAAGACAAATCACTCTTGATAGGGTGGACTGGATTAGTTGAGTTCAACGAATCAGGATAAAAATCATTGTGTTTTTATTGCCATAATATTTTTTAAACCCTTATTCAACCCCCCCCCCCTTCTAAGTGTTTTCTCACCTTCAATTTCCTCCGTCGTCCTCGATCGGGATACGTCTGCCCTCAATTCTAAAAATAGAATTGAGACCTGTATATAGAACCTGTTGCAAATTTTTTTACAAGAGAAGCAATAGAAATCAAACACTCAATCCTAATTGTTGATGTTGAACCTATGCCTTCTCTTCCCTTGATTCAAGATGAATTAAGTCCTTCGAATATGATGAGTAAACCTCCGATTACGGCACCACCTTTGAACCACCCAACGGTCTTCAAATATTTTCCCAACTGATTTCAAACACCCACAATTCGAACCCAAACCTTCCTTCCACAATCCTCCGGTTAACGCTACTAAATTGATAGAACTTCCCGTTCTTCAATTATCTTAGCTCAGCTGAATCTGTGAAGGAACAATTTGTGCAAAACCCCCAAAATCCAAGATTCTTGGAGGACAAAACCCTAACGGTTTTATTAAAGAAAAACCCACTGATATATCAACCCAAACCCGATACACCGATCCTATGTTTGGATGTTATCACCTCAATGATGCAGAATGCACAACAAAAATGATTGTGTATTTGTTAAGAGAATGTAAGAAAGGGGATGAATATGATGAGAGAAAAATCAGTGTCTATTTTCACTTTTCTTGTTGTTAGGTGAAGAATGAGCTCAAACAATATATATGTGAAGCTTGGACCAAATAACCAACATAATAGACATTTTGAAAGGCAAACATAATAGAAAAATAGTGTAAAACGAGCGAACGGTCGACCTAAAGAATAGTAGGGTCGATCTGAGCTCTCCCAATTACAAAATTATGCAGAAAATATCTCTTTGCGTCGACCGAAATAGGTCCACGCGTCGACGCAAAACAACCCAATTTTGACAAATAGAAATGCAAACAGTATGAGTCGACTGGAGGGTCGACGCGAGCTCTCCTGGGAGAAAATCATAAAAATTCACTCTGTATGAGTCAACCTAAGCATGCTTTGAGTCGACTCAAAGGCTCAGAACTTGCAAAAATGCTAATTTTGATATGTCTTGCTATTTCTAAGTGCTTCTAATGCATATCTAAGTCAACCAACATGGTTAAACTCACATAAAACACATATAATGATTTTCTATATGAACGAACACATGTTTTTGATAAATGCTTGACACGAGAGGACAATGAATGCATATGCGACTCGATGATACCGTCCAAAGTACACATTACTAACTAGATATGTTTTGACATCCTTAAAACAAGTATTGAGACAACTTGCCTTCACAACAAATAGGGGGTTGTTTCCGATTACGTAATCAATAAGCATATCGTGATTGTATTCGACAACCACAAGGCGACTACATATCTTAGCATTCACAACAACATCACATGCTCCATATAGTACTTCACCTCTCCACTAAACAAATACTTATCAATGATACACACCTAGACATCGTTTGCATAAGCATTTCCATCTAAGTCCTATATCATGTCCTAATCATCTTACTAATTCATTTTATTAATGGGTAATAAGGGTTTTCTCACTATTGTTTATAGTTTTGCAATTATGTTAACATTAATCACAAGCAACCAATAATACATGGAAGTCATGCATAACAATTATAATCCATGGTAATTGACATAAATAATATTAAGGCATGCATGTGAAACACCAAAACAAATAACCAAAATAAATTGCCAAAATCCTGTCTTGGTCGTCTGGCGAGTAGCCAGCGAGGCTGACTCGCCTTTGGTTTGCCCGGCGAACCCCACCAGAGGGGCAGACAAAACCAAAATGCATCACGGTCGCCCGTCGGGACATCAGCGAGGTAGCTCGCCTTTTGTTCGCCAAGGCTTGCCTGAAGATGGTAGCAGAAAAACAGACCGCCACGGGCTCGCCCAAGCTTGCCTGGCAACCGCGTCGTTTTCTGCAAAAATGCCAGCAAAACCAAGGCAGTCATGGAGTTTTTTCCACCCACCCCTAAATAAGTTCCAAACACAACCAAATATCAACACACAATGCAACATTTCAGCACATACAACACGAATAACAACATATTCATAAGACTTTCATGGTATTGGGGAGAATCACATATTAACAAATTCCATTTCTACCTCAAAACCTAAAATCATTAATTTCTACGATCTATGGTATCTACCTAGAACCCACCTTACAATTGATAAAAAATTGTTGGATGATGAAGATGAGATGATGTTGTTGAAGACTTCTAACTTTCTTCTTCTCCTTCTAGGTTTTCTTCCTCTTCTTTCTATTTCTCTTCTTTCTCTCTATTTCCTTTTTTATCTATTCTCTCTAGTACTCACACTTTGTTGGAAATGAAGGAAAGAAAATGATACATAGAAATATCATTTAGAAGTTAGTAAGACCAATTGGCATGTGTGGTAGAAAAAATGCTATTAGTAGTAGAATAAATATTAAGTTGTACAATGCTCAAAATTTGTTTTATTAGAGCAACTGACTCATTATTAATATTATCAAAATGTCTCTATTGAATCAATTAATAAAATATCAATATTGAATAATATTAATTAAATCAATCTAAACTTGTTAGTTGCTCTAATTATCCTAACTGATAACTCTCAGAATACCTAAAAATTCAGCTGATCTCAACCAATATCATTTAGAGCATTTTAGAAAATACGGAGTATTACAAAAGAATATGGAATATTGACACTGATGTATAAATAAACTCCTAGTAGAGTAAGGCCAAAGCATATAGGTGTTGAATATGCCTGGAGAATTGGAGCTCTTAACGAAGAACCACTCTAATATGATTTGTGAGTGATAATATTAGAGTAAACTTAAGAATCATCTTGAGAAATGGATCTAATATAATCTATCTTAAACTCGTGATAACAAATTGAAGCTTCATGTTCATATTTCCTCCATACTTCACAATGAACATAGTTATCCCAACAACCACGACTACAAACATCACGTCTACAACCACTATAACCATTTGAAAATGGAAGAAGGATATATCAGTGTTATTTGACGAAGGAGAAGTAAACAGAATTCAACAAGATATATTAAACTCCTCTAAGTTATTCGATTCATGATTGATCTTAAGACAAATATCTTTTAACTAGTTGTTTCTATGACCATATGAATCTATTTAAAAGGCAAGAGAACCATAAAAGTGCAACTTAAAGCATCAAATATTTCGTTGGAGTTTAATTAAAGATAAAACTTTCTTTAGTTAAATCTGTACAAGTGATTTATTATGGAATATGAGTAATGGACTAATTTTGTTTATTTTTTACATAAATGAATTGGTCTTTGCTTTACCACATGACACACTTGCTCAACTTAAGAATTTGTCACAAATTGTAGCTAAACAAGGTAACAAACTTATTTGAATCCATCGTGAAGTAGGGCAACAAACTCGTATTCTAAGTTTTCACTCAAAACCCATCTCAATTGCATTCTAGGCCTACTCTTCATTTCATTTCCAAATTATCATTTCTTCCCTCAAAATCAACACTCTTTCAAGCAACCATGTTTCGCATAGCATCAAAATTTTCTTCAAGAATCTCTCCCAAAGCTCTTGTTTCTCTCACTGCAAAACCCTCTCCCATTTCATTCAGGTCATTCAGCAATGGCTTGGCGTTGGATAAAAGCTTAGCTATCGATGATGTTGTTCGGATGAGCGCATACGCTTTGAGACAAGCTAGGTCTGAAAAATCAGGTGAGATAAAAATGCAATTTTTCCATCAGAAACTTTGGTTCTTTGATGACCCATTGGTGTGTTTTGTTCAAAGTTATCATCTTTGTGGTTTTTTTATTTTGGGTTTGTTTATTTTTGTGTGATTAGTGGGATCATACGGTATGGGTTATTTGGTGTTGAAGCATTGTCTTACAACCGAGTTAACGGAAGGAAATGACCCAAAACATGAGAATTCCAAAGGAATTGCTTTGCTTGCTATGTCTACCTTGTTTTCTGAAAGGTTCTTTCTATTGGACTCTCAATTCACATTTTAGAGTGGTTGGTTTGTGTAAACTCATTAGAGCTATGTTTTTCTATAACTTTTCTCCAGAGGAGATTATGTTGATGCAATTGAACAGCTAGACGGTGTTCAAGAATTGACGAATTCTTACTTGGGTATTAGAGGTAGATTTGTTTGATCCTCTTTTGTTGTTTACTGCATTTGCTAGGGTTTTGTTTTAAATGGGAATTTTTTCTAGTGATATTTAAATTGTATTTTGATTTCTTGTTGTAGTTGCTGCCTTTGAAGCTCAGGCTGGGCTTCATCTAGAATTGGAACAGGTTGATATATGTTAGCGGATATAAATTATTTGGTCGTTTTTTTTACAGAACCATGATGTTTATTTATAGTTACTTTTGTACATAGGATGATATGGCATCTGCGGTGGCTGATAAATGTATAGAGCTGGTGGAGAACGAGAAAACAGAAGATTTTGAAGCTTTAAATGTTCGTGCTAGAGCGCTAAAAGGGCTTATTGAACTTGTCAAGGGAGATATTAAATCAGGTAGTGCTAAATTCTAGTGGTCTTTTTATTTTCAATTTATTGCTGATTCATGATGAGTGTTTATTATGTTTTGTTGCAGCTGAACCTTACTTTGACAAAACTCTACGCACCAAGCTATGCGAAGGTATCCTTCTTTCTTTCTTTCTGTGTTATTGAATCAGTCATTCTTCGACTCTGGATTGATGTTTTCTTATGTAGGCACTGCTGCTCTATCGTATGCGGAGTTCCAACAAACAAGGCAGAACTACTCAATGGCAAGAGAGGTTTACCAGAATGTTATAGAAGGAGCCGCTGACCTTAAAGAGAGTGGCAATGTATACTTAGGAGGTGGTAACATGAACATGGAGGGTTTAATGATGGGGGCCATGTGTGCTTTAGGACAGCTTGAATCACATTTGTGGTAGGCTTAATGTTTTTTTGTGTGGTTTTCGTTTTCCTTACCAAACGTTCCTTTTTAACTTTTATGTCGTCATACGTAATACATCACTAACCAGTAATAACTTCTGTTTTAGTAACTTCCGTAATGCGGAGGAGCATTTGACAAAGGCATTAACTAAAGCAGAAGAGATCTATGGTGACTTGTCTATTCTTTTCATCTGTTGCTGTTACCGGAATTCAATTTAAAAATTCATATTGTGTTATCACTGTTCCAGGTCATGGCATATTTTTCCTAATATTTGTTGTTCTCTATTTATTGAAGGAGAAAAACATCCCAAGGTGGGTGTTGTCTTAACATGTATGGCTCTTATGTATAGGCATAAAGCAATTGTTCAGCAATCAAGTTCGCTTATGGTTCAAGAGGTTAGAACTCTCTGAATGTCAAGTACTTGAGTTTTAAATTAATAACTTCATTAAAAAAGTATCAAAGGACTATTGGTTAGGACTCAAAATGTGAAACAAGCCCGCAGTTGGGTAGTTTTTATTAGGAAAAAGTATAGGAACATGATGGGAGGAATGTGACGTGGCAGAGGGGAAGAGAGGGACTCAATTGTGGGGTAACTTGTTTCAGATATATAGGAAATGTGAGGAGAGAGAGGGGGTATCATTCATCATCTACAGTTAGAATCCTTATGGTTTGGGAAGAAAGAGGAGTGGCTCTTCTCTGAGGAGCTTTGGCTATGGGGTTACAGGGATTTACTTCTGTAATACAAATGTTTTCAATCAATAACATTAAAACTTCCTCACGTGGCATGAAAACCTAACATGTCTCACTTGACTTTTTAGCATTGCCATGATTCTTCGGATTTCTTAGCTATAGTTTTTCTTTCAATTTAAAGGGTAATTGTAACGGGGCGATCATTTACAGGGCCTCTACAGAAAAATTTCAGGGATTTTGAAGTTTCCATCAGCTGAAACTGAATCTGAAGGTAATATTATTTTGCTGCTTGGTTCCCTTATGTCCATGTATTATCTCTAACTATTATACATGCCCACACCGACTGAGATGAGCTTGCTGCTTTTTTCTACAATGGGAGCTACCTCGAATTTTTCTCTATCATTTATTTAATTCAGTATTGAAGTCTAACTTTCTTTGTGTAGGTACTAATGCTGCTGCACCATCTGTAAAGAGAAGTGATATAGTGGCTCTTTCAAGTGGTATGATGGATTCTTCGATCCTTTATAATCTATGATGATTGTGTTAGTGATAATTATGCATGCTACAATTTGTGTATGGATAAAATAATGATTTCTTAAATCAAATAGAACTCTCTTTCACGAATGCCGTGCTCATCAAATGGTAACAATTATAGCCACAACAGAATCAATACATGTCTTATTGTAGCGATATAAGAGAAATGCTTAGATGAGAAATGCCTACTATAGATACTTCAATTGTCTACTATATTTTGATGCTGTGTGATGAATGGAAAATTTCAAATTCTCCGCTCTCTGTTCGTATAAACTCATCTATGAATGTGATTATATATATATATGCTATGTTCAATTTTAAGGCTCATTCTAAATGCTGGTAACTTGATCATGATAAGTGTTGTATATTGATATTGATTAGTTTGCTCAATATTATAGGTGGATATGCAGAAGTACTTAATGTCCAAGAAAAGAGAAAGAATGAAGGAGAGAAGCTGAGGAACTTGTCTGATTCTTTATGGAAAAACAACAGGATGTCTCTGGATGATTATCTCGGAAACACAGAAGCAAATTTATGTCCTGTTATTGATGCTCGCATATGCAGGCTTCTGTAAATTGATCCATCTTCTGCTGCTTGTCATGCTGCTGTAGGTTTAGGTTGGACTAATGAAAAATGAAAAAAAGGGTGCCAAATTAGTTCATGGTGTTTTCTTGTAGTTAAAATGTTATGATGGCATATACAATGTTAATCCATTGTCGTGTACATAACATTTCTAAGGTGTATAAGGACACGGAAAGCGTAAAGCGTTAACTATGGTGAAGTAACAGATGAATTCTTTATGGAAGAAGTTGCAATTTATTACACTATTTACTCAAACTTGATTTTACATTTGAGATAACAAACTCTCTTTTATCCATTTCCGGTCGATCTTGAAAGTCAACGACCACCGGAGAGATGCGATTCAGCGATAGACATAGAAGAATGCGACATTGTCTTGTCCATAGAAGATGGATAAGACATTGGAAAATCCTCAAAATGTTCTTGGTACCCAAACGTTAATCCTGAAGTAGATAAACTAAGCAAAGACAAATCAGGCAATGGTATATCCATCTCCAAATACTGCACAACTTGTCTCATACTTGGTCTAGCCACAGGCTCTGAATGTGAACACATCATGCCAAGTTTCAACACCAACTCAACCTCTTGAGACACATAATATATTCCCAAATTTACATCTTTTGCCTCAAGAATATCACCTCTTTTCCAACACTCAAACACATAATCAACAAGAATTACACTCTCATTTTCTCCTACATGATCTATAGGCCTCCTACCACAAACAACTTCAAGAAGAAATGCACCAAAAGCAAACACATCAGAAAATTTAGTTGCTTTACCTGTTCTAGTATGCTCAGGAGCAAGATACCCTACAGTTCCAACCAAATGAGTTGTGTGAGGATCAGCACCATGATCATACAATCTTGCAAGACCAAAATCTCCCAATCTACCATTCAATTCACTATCTAATAACACATTACTAGCTTTTATGTCTCTATGAATCACAACTTGCTCCCATCCTTCGTGTAGATAAAACAAACCCGAAGCAACCCCTTTGATGATTCTAAATCTTTGACTCCAATTCAACCTCACTCTTGGTTGGTTGTACAGATAGTTGTCTAAGCTTCCATTAGACATGTAATCATAGACCAGAAGTAACTCGCCGTTTCGTCTGCAATAGCCGAGAAGCGGAACAAGATTCCTGTGACGAAGACGACCGATACTAACAATTTCCGAAACGAATTCCCTCATTCCTTGTCTTGATTCATGAGACACCCTCTTCACAGCAACCTCAATTTTGGAACCTGGCATCACACCTTTGTAGACTCTACCAAATCCACCAACTCCCAATAGCCCCTTTTCTCTGAAACCCTTTGTGGCAAAGTATAGATCTTTGAACTTAAATCTATGTGGGCCATATTCATGTTCCCAATCTTCAAGCAACTCTTCAAATTTCTTCTTCCTTTTTATATAATAAATAACCCCTAAAGTTATCATGAAAACCAAACTTAACAAAAGCAAAGGTAACCCAACAGTTAAAAATTTGGATTGTTTTTTCTCACCAAATTTTGGTAGCTTAGGAAGTTTAGAAATCACAAGGTTTTGAGCTTGACCATTAACCTTAAAACTCCAACCAAGAATATAATGAGAAGTAAAAACTGATCCAGTAGCTGATGAAAATCCAACATACATACTATTGTTAAGAATTGGAGAAAGATCTTTGACAAACGATAACAATGGTTGTTTTGGCTTAACAACATCAATAGGAGCTAAAGTAACATCAATCTTCTTCTTTTCACCATCATATTCAACCCATACCTGCATAGAATAGCCACTATAAAGGGTCAAATTCTTCTTCTGACCATTACTATCATAATATCCTGCAGGAGCTGATTCAGCAGATTTCAAATCATTGATATCAATACCAACATGGTTATCATTTATATCATTAAACTCACTGCTTTGAATAGTATCAAGTTCCACCCCAAAAACATGGTTGCCACTGTTTCCATTGTTGGATTTGCCAAAGAGACCAAGGTACTGACTTTGCAGTGAATTTGGCAACCCTTTTGTTGGAGAAACAACAAAAACAATTCCATGACCACTAAGAGTTGCATATTGAGGTCTTATGGCAAATACAAAAGTGGTTGAGAAAGAAGAAACACTTCCATTGGAAGTGTTTTTGAAAACTATAGGATTTGGATAGAAAGCATGTGCTTTTTCTTGTTTGGTGTCATTGGTGAGTCTTAGTATGCCATTAGAGGTTAACTCAGCAATACCATCAAGATACAAGTGAGATGATTGGAATCCATTATTATAGATGAAACTAACATCTTTACTTGCCACAAATGTAACAAGAAAAAACAACACCAATAGAAGTTTGAGAGACATGACATGTATAGTTTGTGAATACTATGCTTCTGTACACAGTTCTGTTCAATGGTTATTTATTATTCATAAGATCTTGTCCTAAGTTAAGCATGATAAGAAATGTCTTGGAACCTAACTTAGATGCAAATTATTATTAAAAAGAAATATGCAAGCTAGTTTAGTAAAAAAGAATTTATGTGTTGCTATAAGTAAGGACCATTTGAATAATCTATCGTTCACATGTGAATCACAATTTTTTTTTCCAACTTTGGATGGTAGTCAAATTTGATTGCGTGGATTTGAACGGTCACTCTAAATTATGTGAGTTTATGATTTTCTTGGCGGCTAAGTAAATGATGAATGGAGAAAGATATCATTGATATTGATATCTTATCTACATCTTATTGTTTTTTTCTCTTTCATGTTAATAGGTTTATTTATTAGGTTGGATTATTATAAACTTATAATGTTAGTTTATGACTTTTAACTTTTAAAACCTATTATTCAGAAATCATTTGAGCTTATAAGTAGTTAAATGTGATTGGATTATATACATTAAATTTTTAGTTTAGTTATTAATTTTGTATAGTCAAACTCCGATAGTAAGAATATGATAGGTAGTTAGATTTTTTTTAAAGAGGGTTAGATGAAAAATATAAAAGCTGAAATCGTTTCTTTTTTGTAGAGGTGAAAATCGATGGCGGTAAATATTTTTCAGCAGCAAACAAATGAGGGATAAACTCAAATGAACCTTGATTGATCTCTGACCATTGGAGGCAAGAACTTTCCTCTCCAATTGAAAAGGTGGAGCGAACTCTTGTTTGAATATGCTAGAGTTCGAATATGTTTTACTGGCTTCAACCAGATCTACTTTGATTAGAGATTCTTGCTTGCCATGGCTTCTGTTATAGGCATCACAATCAAAGTAGATAATAATACTCAAAAGTGGAATGCAGAATTGGTTAGAGTCAGTGTAAAATTAGACTTTACTCTCTCGATTGTCAGACAAATTTGAATCAAAGGTCATTAGTACATAGTCCAATATGAAGAAACCCATATCATTTGCACTTGTTGTGGATGAAGGTGAAAAAAACACAATAAATAGGAAGTGGTTGAATTGCATTTGAAATTGCTCTAGAGTATTTCTATTTCTTTCTTTGTGGGTGTTTTGTTGATTGTTGTTATGTTTACTTTAGTAAGTGACTCTCTCACAATAAGCACTGTTGCATGTCTCTTTAATAAACGACTTTTGCATGCATACAATAGGACTTTGATTAAAAGTCAATGCAATATTTATTTAAATTAGCAAGTTTGTGACTCAAATTAAGAAGTTTTCACATGCATGATTTAAATCATGCTGAACCTTGATTTGAATCAAACGTTGATATTTGGTTATGTAAACGTGATTCAGATCATGAGTAAGTTTATAAAATTGGATTATGCTTATAAAAATGTGATTCAAATCACTATCATATTTGATTTGAACCACAACTAGTTTGGTTTTGATTCAAATCATGAGTTGATTTGACACGAATCATGAGCGAACTATACCATTTTAAAAATAGTTTTGAATTCTTGAGACGAATCATAGTTGAGTGTGATCTAAATCACATGACTTGAATCATGACACAAATCATATAACGTAAATATGAGTCTTTTGACTGCATGATTATCTCTCTCTCTCTCTCTCTCTCTCTCTCTCTCTCTCTCTCTCCACACACACACACACAACCTATTTGAATAATTCATTATATATTTTACTCGAATCAAATGACTATTTTACACTTATTTTTGCGTCTCATGTCTAGTACATATATGATATCTTTCTCTATTAAATTTTAAAAATAATCTTTGAAAACTTTTGTTATTATTCATTCACACATTATATTATATCTAAGAGAAACCTTGAAGAAAAACTTTTTTTAAACTCAATCTCTTATGGTCTTTGAAGGTGACAAGATCATATCTCTTTGAGATTTTAGAAGCTTTGTGAGTTACGTGCAGTTGAAGAAGAATTAAGAATTAGGACCGTAAGGTTTTATGATTAATTTTAAGTATTTCACCATTTTGTCTTTGATTATCATCTATACATAAGGACACTATAAAATTTCATAGTAAAAGACTACAATCAAATTTCAGGTAGTTTATCATCAGAGATTAGATTAGGTGTTATTCGAGGATGAAGACACCGAACTAGTATAAATCCGGAGTGTTATCTCTTCAACTCTACTTCTTTATTTATTCTTTAGAACTTGCTATAGCGGAAAAGTTTGAGGTTAAACTATTGATTAACTTAACTCATAAAACAAGAGTCGTCACCGCACTTTTATTTTTCAAAGGAAATGGAAAAGAGCAAACAAAACCTAAAAAAGTTTTAAAATAAAAAATTAATAAAAACAGAGACATGGTAAGGGGGTTGGTTACACAAAGGGAAGATGTTAGCACCCAAAACGTCTATAGTACTTATAGGAATCTCTTTGAAAATCTAGCGTTTGACTTAAAAGGTGTTGTTTGCAAAATATTGTGGAGGTGAGAAGAGAAGTATTTTTTTTTTATATTTTTGTTTGACAAGACTTACTGAGTCTTGTGCCTACGTACCCACAGAGTGCAATAGAGGATCAAAACCTCATAGTTAATGGTAAAAATAACAAAAATAATGTGTTATGATTCATTTTAAATGAAAAGACAACTTGTCATTTTAAGGAGAAATCTTCAACTAATCACCCACAAGTATGTGAAAATGGACCTTTGCATCACCATGAGAAGGGTTCTAACTTGGATAAAATAAAAACGTATGCCACTAAATCTCTAAGGTGGAAAAGAATAAACTCTTTCAAACAATACTATGGGGATAGGAGGATCACATCTCAACTATAAATGACTCATGTCTAAAATTTATGAAAAGTTTTAAAAGCAAAAAGTGCACAAAAGGCACAAAATAATTTGAATGAGTTAAGTGTTTTTTATGTCTTTTGAAAATGGTCTAAGTATGCTTAATATTTATTAGAATTTATTAAGAAAATTAAGTTTGAAAATGCACTTGGTAAAGTCAAGGTTTATTAAGAAAGTGGTTCTAGTTTGAAAGAAGAAAGTTTTGAAAAAGGGAGAAGATTTTGAAATTAGAAAAGGGGAGGAGATAAAAAGGCTATCCTAAAGCATAAAATAAAAGTTAAGGAAGGAAGGATCTAACCAAGATACAAGCCTTTGACATAACAAGACAAAACTCTTATCCTTTGGATTCAAGCAACCAGATAAGTAATAAGATAAGCAGAGAAATAACCAAGTATCAGATGAAAGCCAAATCTTCAAGCCAAGTCTTCAAAGAGGAATATCAAGATCAAAGTACTAGATAAGATCCAAGGTCTCAAGATATAACTCCAAAGCGTAGGGCAGGGAACCTAATTCTAAGTCCATCATCCATGAGCAAAGGATAGTCACCAAATAGTCCAAGGAATAATAAGAGTTTTTTTTTTTATGGTTTAAGCCTTTATTAATGTCTTAAAAAGAAAAAGAAAGTCCAAATGGACAAAGAGAAAAAGGCATAAATATAAACAAGATGATAATATGATATGAAATGATAATAATAAAGCAATATAAAGTGCAAGAAAGTAAATAACTTAAAGATAAATGTGCATAAAAGTAAATGACATAAAAAATAAATGTTAGCACAATTAAAGTCAATGTTAGTATTAATGAAGACATTTTGTCATTTAAAGTATATTACTCAACTAATCAATCCACCATGTGTGAGAATTTTGCGTCATCCTTTGAGAAGGGCTCCAACTTGGATAAAATCAACAAGTATGCCACTAGCTCTATCAGGTGGAAAAGAATCTGCGCACTATGGAGATAGGAGATTTACATCTAAACTAAATATGACTCATATCTAAAATTGGACCAAAATGATGACTTTCCGATTAGGGACAAATTTAGGGCCATGTTAAGTAATCGTAGCACAATCTATAAGGAAAATCATACTATAGGAGGCTGATCAATAACAATTTATATACCATACATGTTAAAGATATGATATAAAGATCATACTCCTAAAACATGTAGCACAAGTCAAAACAAGGTTGATCAAGATCTAAGTCAAGGAAAGATGAATCCATTACACCAATCAACCTCTCATAGTACTTTGAACAAACTTATACATCAATCCGAAGTATCTTAATTGATCAAATGATCAATCAAATGGTAGATTTGAAATGCTGAAAGTTCATCAAGTACCACTCAAGATCTAATGAACAAGATGACCTACACATCCTCCAATTGATCAAAGAAAGGGTAAAAAAGAAAAAGAAAGGGATGAAGAAGAGAGGATCAAACAATACGGCAAAACCAAATTGGATTCAAGTGATGATCAAGTCATCATCAAAATCAATCATCCATTTTGGTAGATTAGGATTTTCACCCCATCAACACCCAAGATCCATTGAGTTTGATGAGACTTGTGACCAAATCACCCAAGATCCACAGCCAACAACAATCAACATACGTCAAACCAATATAAAATGTAATAATATGAATTAATATGCACTAAAATGAATTTTAAAATGAAAATAAAGATGAAAATGCAAATGATGCATCAAATCAAATCACAAATGATCAAGAAAAATCAAGCAAGTCATAAACAAGTCACAAATTCTATATAATTTTTTAAAGAATTTTTTAATGCATAAAAGTATTTTTAAACTAATTAAAATGCTTCTAAAAAGAGAAAAGTCATGAAAAATAGAAAATGATGAAAATAAAAAATGAAAAATATCAAATCAGAAAGAGAAAAATAAAAGAGAAATTTAGAAATTGTTTTGAGATTTTTTGGATTAAAAATGAAATTTCTATGAAATTCTAAATGAAAATGCATTTTAAAATAAAAATCAGAAAATAAAATAAAAGGGAAAAAGGAGGAACGCAAGATCTAACTTCATTAATTGATGTGGCAGATCCCGCGCTCCTAAGATGATGATGCACAGTGGAAATTACCAGAAATAACACACATGATCTAATTCAAATTAAGC